CTTCTCGCAGTACTGACGCGTGCCCACTGGTCAGTCGGCTGCGTCGTGCACCAAAAGATGGGCGCCAGAAGGAGGAGGAGGAGGAGGAGGAGGAGGAATGAGCCATCCTCTCAGCCAAGAGATGCGGCTCCGCCTGCGCCCCCGGGTCTCTCCGGGCACGAAGTGCCGCTCGGGCAGCGCGTAAAAGGGGCAGCCCGCCACATCCGGCCGAGCGCCGCGGCCTCTGTGGACCTGGCCGCCGTCGTCGGCGAGCACTTCGAGACGCTCGAGGCGGGCTTGAATCCGAAGGTGCTCGGCGGCATGCGCGTCATCTGATGCACCGCGTGGACCTCTTTCATCATCAGCGGCTCCGCGGTGGGGTAGAACTGGGCCAAACAGAACAGCGCTGGGGCAAGATGTTGTGTAGAACTGCGAGTTCGAGTCCACTGGCTCTGAGACAACACCAATTCGGACCACTCAGTGCCACAACTAAGCCGCCGCTTCTCTCCATTGACCATTCTGGGTCGTTCCAGGGCTGACCATGACGCTAAGGTACTAGTCCAAGCTTCTGATGCAAATGTCTCTCCTCTGCGGTGCAAGCGCGCGCACCGTATATTCGATTCCCACCACGAGCGAGCCTGTTAGGTTCGCTCACTGGGTCGCCAGATGATGTTCATGGGGAGCAGAAGGAAGATGGCCAACGTGTGCAGGAGATAAAGGAGATGAAGGCGGAGGACCAGGAGAGGATGGGACTAGGCACAAGGAGGAGGATAAGGAATGCGTGAGTGAGTGATTGACTGACTGACTGGGGTGATCCCTAACGCGGATCCCCGACTGTCACATGAGTCTGAGAGCTTGGTGTGCAGGGAAGTGAGACAGGATGATGATAATGATGATGCTGATGCTGATGATGCTGATGATGAGGATGAGATGATGAGGATGAGGATGCTGATAATGATGATGATGATGATGATGATGATGATGATGATGATGATGATGATGATGATGATGATGATGATGATGATGATGGTGATGATGCTGATGATACTGATGATGACGATGATGATGATGCTGCTGACGATGATGATGCTGATGATGATGCTGCTGCTGCTGCTGCTGATGATGATGATGATGATGATGACGCTGCTGATGCTGCTGCTGATGATGCTGCTGATGATGAGGAGGATGAGGAGGGAGAGGAGGAGGAGGAGGAGGAGGAGGAGGAGGAGAAGGAGGAGGAGGAGGATGAGGAGGAGAAGGAGGAACGTGAGCAGGCGGGGGATGTGGATGAGCACGAGGAGGGGGACCAGCAGCAGCAACTGCAGCGAGGAGACGAGGAATGCAGCAGCAGGATGAGGAGGAGACGGAGGAAAACGCGCACGAGGAGAGAAGGAGGAGGTGGAGGAGAAGGAGCGTCCCGCTGGAGGACGGGCGGCGCGGCGCTGGGACGACGGAGCCTGGTCGGGCATCCGCCCGCAGTCGGTGCAGCGAGGTCCGCGTGGGCAGTGAGATTCGGCCTGCGCCTCCTTCTCTTCATGTTCTTCGTCGTCGTCGCGGTCGTCGCACTCGTAGCCCTCCTTCCTCCTCCTGCATCCTCCTCCTGCTCCGTCCTTGTCCAGCCTCTTCTGTCCTCGACGTATCCATCCTCCGCCTCTTCCCCTATCCTCCTTCTCACAGCCTCTCTCTTCCTCCCCGCCTCATGCACATCCTCGTCCGTCTCTTTCTCCTCCTCGTCGTCCTCCCTCTCCTTCTCATCCTCCTCATCCGCCTCCTCCTTACCATCTGCATTCCCCCTCCCATAATCAGCTGATCCTCGTCGTCGTCCCCCTCCTTTTTATCTTTCTCCTCGTCCTCTCTGCTCGTCCGCAACTCCTCCTGAGCAATACTTGCCGGCCGTCGCGCCACGGATCGCGTCGGTAGGGCAGACCGCGCGTTTCGCCTGACACCCTCTTCCAGTGATGGCAATGCTCGCCATGTTCATCCACTTGCATGAATCGGGGATGTTTCGTTTCGCCGTTCCGGCTGGTATTTGTTGACAACGCACGATCCGAAAACTCAGCAGGCCCAGACACTACGCGGATGTAGGCGGCCCTTTGCAATCTGTGACCCCACGCTCAAGTTGTCGAACAATCAAGCGGATTGAGGGGACGGCCCATGCTTGACACTATTAATTCGCCTGGAACTCACTGCTCGACCTGCGGTCTGAAATTCAATATGTTCAACGATTTCAATGATGGAAGGCGACGCGTCTTTCAAACCGCGATCTTTCCCGAGACTTCCCCACATAGTACTGTCTGGGGTACGAGTCAGGCAGCTGCATGGATCCATTGCGGTGCATTGCTTTTCCAATTCGCGCTCTCGCTCGGGCTCCCTCGAAATTCACGGCCCATAAGTTTAAGCAAGACCCAACAGCGAGGTGGCACCAGACATGGCAATACCGCCTGGCATTTTTTCCTCGCACTGTGTGGCCCCAGATGCCGAATGCCCAACAGCTGCATGGATGGACGGCAGCAGGTGTTCGTTCAAGATTGCGCTCTCGCCTCGGCGCCGCATGCGTTCTTGCCGCACGCTTCTCGGGAGCGGCCAAGAGGGGGGTGTCCAAGAGGGGGGGGTGCAAATCATGACCGGCGGCACGTGCGCGGCCCAGCTGGGGGGCCAGGGACGTAATGAAATGAGAAGAGGCGCCATAAAATCTGGGAAAATATCATGGCCCCCGCCATGATATCCCCCCCCCCTAGTCAGCACCCCCCTCTTTTCCGCCCCCGAGCTTCTTTCGATCTGAACGCGTCGTGCGGCCGGGCGCCGCCGAGGCGCAGCCTCGCGCTCGTGCAGCCTGCTGGGGCTGCCGCCGCTCCGCTCCAACTAAAGGGCCCCCAGAACACACAAATAGATACACACAAATAAACATATGCCCCATCTTTTCGGAGGTTCTGTCTTCCCCCCCCCACTTCCCAGATTCTCGCACCTTTTCCTGGGGATCGCCGGTTCTTTTTTTTTTGTTTTTTCTTTTTTTCTCTCCTTTTTTCCAACAATGAACACGACAGCAGAACAACCGCACACGATGCCCGTCCAGCAAGCGTCAGACAAGTCCGCTGCCCCTCACGGGGACTATAACCGCACCCATTGGAAATAAGCCTGAGCCCAGTAACGATCGTGACTTAAACTGGACGGCCGGGGATCGACGATTCCTTGTGTCTGTGGGTTTTTTCCCCTCCCGACCGGCCCCGGGCTGCCGACCTCCCCTGGGCAGGGCCACGGGGCCCCGGAAACCCTCCCGCCGCCCCGCCCTGCCCCCGCGCCCTGGCCCCGCGGCAGTCGGCGGCGCGCCCCGCGGGGCAAGGCCCAGCGGGGGAAGGCCGAGGCGGCAGGCCCTGCCCAGAGGAGGAGGAGGAGGAGGAGGAGGAGGAGGACGACGAGGAGAAGGAGGAGGAGGACGACGACGACGAGGAGGAGGAGGAGGAGGAGGAGGAGGAGGAATGCGACCTCTTCTGGGCAGGACCCTTCCGCCGCCCCGCCTGCCCACGCCCTGGCCCTGCGGCAGCCGGCGGCGTGCCCCGCGGGGAGGGCCCAGCGGGGGGAAGGCCGAGGCGGCGGGCCTCCTCAGCAGGCCGAGGAGGCCTCCTCAGGGGGCCCACAAAGGACGTACGCGCCCAGCTATTTACATGAACACGGCCCCTCGACCCGCGAGGCTGGCCGCGTGGCACGAACATTTGGGCAAGGCGTACGTTTGAAACCAGCCTGGATTCGTGTACGTGTACGTCCTTCTTTCGCTCCTGACTTCTGGCCTCCGCGGATGCAGCCCGAGCGCTCTCCGGCGCCACCGAAGGCCTCTCGGAGGGCCATGGGGGCTTCTGGGAAGCCACGCCGCCCTCTGGAAAGGCCTGCCCCCTCCCCCATTCCCCCCCTCGGCGCGACGCCGCATTATCTGGTGCCACTTCGAATCCTCCTTGGCCGTGGATCCGCGGCATACGTGTGGGGCCCTCACCACTCCAGCGGCGCACGCCGCACTGGACAAGGAGCGCCCGCTCATACCCATGTGGAGGGAGGCCGGGAAGGGAGGGAGTCCAGCAACATCGAAGCATATCTTCCTAGGCTTTTGTCGTCCTCCCCCACTTCCCATATCTTCCCATATTTTCTGGGGGATCGACGACTCGTTGTGTCTGTGTGCTTCTTGTCCTGTTGGACTTTGAACATCCCGCCCGGAGAAAACGAGTAGTGGGGAGTGCTCCGGCCCACGGCTGCAATCTTTGTCTGGCGCGCCGGCGTCCTGGCTTGTCAGCAAAAAAACCCGCCTATGGAGCCGCGACCTTCCCCTGCGGAGGTCGCCAGAATGCCCTGGAGGTCCCCAGGGGTCTCCCGAGGCTTCTCCTCCTTCTCGCTCCTCCTCCTCCTCCTCCTCCTCCTCATCCTTCTCGCTCCTCCTCCTCCTTCTCGCTCCTCCTCCTCCTCCTTGCTCCTCCTCCTTGCTCCTCCTCCTTGCTCCTCCTCCTCCTCCTTCTCGCTCCTCCTCCTCCTCCTCCTCCTCCTCCTCCTCCTCCTCCTCCTCCTCCTCCTCCTCCTCCTCCTCCTCCTCCCTCTCCGGAGGTCACCAGAATGCCCTGGGAGGTCAAATCACCTGATGACTTGCACTCGTACTGCGATGCGTTCGTGAGTCACTAGCAAGGTCTGCATCGGAGTACTGTCGGATCCCGAGGTCCCCAGGGGTCTCCCGAGGCTCCCGGATGCCAACTGGGCCTCCTGGGTGCCAAACTGAAAGCGCCGAACACCACAAAATCTCGATCCGCCTTCTCCTCCTCCTCTTCCTCTTCCTCCTCCTCTTCCTCCTCTTCCTCCTCCTCCTCCTCCTTCTCGCTCCTCCTCCTCCTTGCTGCTCCTCCTCGCTCCTCATCCTCCTTCTCGCTCCTCCTCCTCCTCCTCCTCCTCCTCCTTGCTCCTCCTCCTCCGCCCCTCCCCCCAAGGAAGGCGCGAATCTCACATTTTGCCGTGCCTTTTGCCGCCAGGTGACGCGCCCCGCGCGGTCCTCACACCGCGGCCATGTACGACGCGAACGACGCGTGCCTCGGGGACCACCGCAGCACCTTCCGCGGGCCGCTGGAGCAGCGGCCGCTCCAGAGGCAAGGGGGGCAACGGGGGCGGAGCTGGCGGGGCCGCGCAGAGGACGGCAGGGCCTGGAGGGAGGCGGGGGAAGAGGGGGGAGAGAGAGAAACCAACATGTAGTACAAGGAAAAAGAGCCACACAGAGAGGGACAACTCTACACATTTATCTTTATATATTATATGTATAGACAGGTGAGTATGAAGAGCGAGAGAAAGAGAGAGAGAGAGAGATAATACAAAAGAGCGAGGGCGAGAGAGAGGACCTGTGACGGCGGCGCTGGTCCTCCCAGGAGCCTGGTCCGCGACTCGTCGTAGGCGCCTGGGGCGGGGGCTGGGTGGCCGCCCAGCTCCAGAGGCGCAGTGGCCATGTGCCTTCTAGGCGGCGGGGGGGGGGGCCGGGGGGGAACGGTATGGGATGAGCTGCGACTTACGCGATCGAACCCCAGAGTGACCCGCGGAAGGAGCGGCCTGACGCCCGGGGCAGGTTCCAGGCGGTTCCTCGCGTCCAGGGGCAACCCGTGGCGTCCCGTCGTGCTCTCGCCGTGGTGGTGCACGACTTGCCGTCCAGACGCGCTGCTCGACGTATCGAACCGTCCCACGCTCGCTGCGCTCGTGGATGTGCGAGTGCTGGTCACGCAGGTGCTGCTGGAGGGCGCGCTGCACCTAGCACTGCTCGTCGCAGTCGTGGGTGCGAGGCTGCTTGTGCCCATGTGCGTCAGCCCTGGTGGGCTGGCCGTGGACCTCGTTGCACTGCTCCTTGCGCCCGAAGAAGTGGCGGTGTTGGTGCTGGCTCCCGTCGTACTGTTCGAGGCTGTGGTCCCAGACGCGATGGTACTGGACGCGGTCGTGCTGCCCAGCGTCCTGGTGCTCGGCCCCGTCGCGTTGCCCAGCGTCGAGGTGCTGGTCGCAGGCGTACTGCTGAAGGACGTGGTGTTCGATACACCGCTCATCTCGCTCGTGTGTGCCAGGCTGTTGGGGCTGGATACTCGTCGTGTTGCTCGACGTCGCGGTTGTATATTTCGTCATGCTACGCGGTGTCACTGTGGTCCCGGTCGTGCTGCTCGACGGCGTGATGCATGTTACCCTGCTCGTCTCCTTCGTACATGTGGGCATGTTGATGCTGATTCCCGTCTTGATGCGCGACGCCGTAGTGCTTGGTCCCACCGTTCTGCTCAGTGTCTGGGTGCGGGTCCTTGCTTTGCAACTGCGGGTCGTGGTGCTCGCTGCACTGCTCGTCCCCCTTGTAAGTGCAAGGTTGTTTGTACTGAATCGCAAGCCCAGCGTCGTGGCGCTTAACTTCGTCGCGTTGCGCAATGTCGAGGTGCTGGTGACCAGCGTGCTGCTGTAAGCAGTGGTATTCGAAGCAGTGCTCGTCTCGCGCGTGAGTGCGAGGCCGCTGATGCAGTGTCCTGTGGCTGTGCATGTCGAGGTGTTGCTCGCCTCCGTCGTGCTGCCCTGTGGCCTGGAGCTGGTCCCAGAGGTTCTGCTCGAAGACATGCTGCTTGTTTCACAGCTCGTCCCACTCGTAGCCGTGGGGGTGCTGGTGCTGGGTCCAGTCGAACTTCTCAACGACATGGTGCTCAGCTCCGTTGCTTTGTACGGCGCCGAGGTGGCCCTGGACGTGCTGCTCGAGGGCGTGATGTTCGTCGCCTTGCTCGTCCCACGCGTAGATGTGAAGCTGCTGATGCCAGGCCCCGTCTTGGTACACAACGCCATGATGCTAGGTCTCGCCGCGCTGCTCCGTGTCGAGGTGCTAGTCCCTGGCGTGCTGTTGACAGACGTGGTGGTCACTTCACTGGACGTCTCACTCGAAGATGTGAAGCTATTGGTGCAGGATCCCGTCGTACTGCGCAGCGTCGTGGTGGTCAACTCCGTCGCGTTTATCGCTGTCCAGGACAACACGGTGTTCTATTCGCTGCCGGCCCACTCGGCGTGAGGCTGCTGATGCCGGACCCCATGGCACTGCACGTCGTAGTGTTTCTCGACTCCGTCGTGCTGCACTGCGTCCCAGTGCTGGTCGCGTAGGTGCTGCTGGCGGACGTGCTGCTCGTAAACTGCTGATCGCACTCGTCAGTGTGTGGCTACTGGTGCTCATGTGCGCGAGCACTGGTGAGCTGGCCAGGGACCTTATTTCGCTGCTCTTCACACTCATGAATGTGAGGGTGTTGATGCTGGGTCCCGTCGTACTGTTCGACGCTGTGGTGCACCGCCTTCTCGCACCGTTCAATGCCGAAACGCTCGTGACAAGCGTGCCGTCGTTGTGATGTTGGGTCCCGCCATGCTTCCCAAACTCGTGGTACTCGTCTCCGTCGCGTTGCTCAGGGTCGACGCACCTCACAGCCGTGCTGCTAAAAGACGCATTGTTAGTGATTGTTCGTCTCACTCGTGAATTTGAGTCTACTGGGACTAAAGCTCGCCGTCGGCATCGTATTGCTCAATTGTGTCGTGCTGCACGGTGTCGCGATGGTCGCAGATGTGCCGCTCGGAGACGTGGTACTCATTGCCTAAGCAGGCTTTTGAATCGGTGCACTGAAGTGGTACTCTGCGGAGCGCTGTCCAGTCGTTTAAGGAAACACATGGGCCGAGGCAAGCTCAGACCGTCGATCGCGCCGCGACGGTAGGATAAACAAAACTGTGCTGCGTCGCACACTCAATAATGTGAATAATCTGGGTGCCTCTGTCGCAATTGCGTAGGGAGGAGGAGTTGGGGCCGACGCAATAACGGATCTCGCTCGCACAACATTGCAACCGCTTTTTCGGTTCGGAGCTCGTATGGGGTCGTGCCGATGATCTCGCGCGGGGCCTGCTCGACATCACCCTCCAAGATGCCGTGGAAAAGGCAACGTCATGACCCTTGGTCCCATCTTGCTGCTCTCGTCCGCGAGCCCCAGCATGTCATTGTCGAGTGTGAGGGCGATGGCGGGGGCGAGGAAGACGAAGGATAAGCGCCAGCAGGCGTCCGATGGGAGCTCGTACCGATGTGCGCCCGTTTGGCGCTTGCCACGGCGCCCGCATCTGCCTCTGGGTGTGCGCGGGTCCTGTCGGTGCCGCAGTCGCTGGTGCCACGGCTGGCATAGGAGGTGCGAGCTCAAGCTCTGGAACAGGCTTCCGCATGTGCGCAGACGGGCCTGGTGTCCCCGCCGTAGATCCCGCCGTCGACAAGTCTGACGTCTCTGCAGACCTCGGTCCTGCCGTTGGCGCAGTGTTACCCCTCGCTGGCCGCTGCGGGGAGCGAAGAGTCAAGCTTGACGCGAACAGGACGGCAAGTTGCAATTGGTCAGCACGTCCACCCAGTACTGGTTCTGCTCCCCATGCGGCCACTGACGGTGCTGTGTTGGCCGTTAGTGGGGTTCTTGACCTGGTTTGAGACCGTTGCCTCGGTGCGTTCCTGGTTGGGCCGAGGCCCAGGTGGCGGGGCACGGCCTGTGGTGTCGGGTAGCGCTTCGGTGCTGGTGGACCTTAGGCTTGCCCTGTTGGGCCCAGGCCCAGTCCCGAGGTCAGGCGAGCAGGCCCCCACGCTGCCTGGCACTCTGCTCGGCAGCTCCGCCTCGACGCAGGGACTCCTGACGTCGTCCGGCGCGTCGGCTTGCGCGAATGCTGTCGTGGGAGCGGGTGGCGCGGGAGGTGGTGCTGTCTATTGCGTTTTCCGTGCCGTGGGTGTCACTGATGCCTCGCTTGGATTTGGCCTGGGCTCCACCTTGGTGAGTGTACCCGTAGGGTTTGGCGGTGGCAGCGTCGGATGAGTCCAAGGTCCTCTTGTGGCGGTTGCCCCCTCCGAGGCAACCGCCAGGAAGATGGCGACGGAGTCCCGAGGATCCTCGGTTTGTGTTTTTGCCCTGGTGTGGTGCTTGTGGATGCTATTGGTGTGCGAGATTCCCGGATCGGCCATGAGAAACGGCGGCGCGATCGGGACGTTCCAGTTTGGTGCGGCGCGCGCGGTGGTATGAAAGAGTATGTGACACGAATCAGTCCTGTGGTGAAAGCCCAGGCCTGGTCGCGACATGCTATCAATGGAATGCTGGTGGCTTCATGTCTTGGCAGCGCCCTGGGTCCGGAGACCCTCGAACCAAGACTACCGAGACGGAGGGAGAGAGAGAGAGAAATATATATATATATATAGAGAGAGAGAGAGAGAGAGAGAGAGAAAGAGTGCGACAGAGAGAGAGAGAGAGACAGAGAGCGAGAGGGATATCAAGGGTCTATATGTATATACGTATATAAAGAGATAGAGAGAAAGAGAGACAGAGAACAAACAAGATAAATAGAGAGAGAGGGAGATAACCACAGAGGGGGGAGAGAGAGAGAGAGGGAACGAGAGAAATATATATACGTTTATTTCGTAGGAAAGAGCGGTTTCTAGATAGAGACTAAGATAGCAATGCATGCAGGGAGAGAAACATATACACATAAAGAGAGAGAGAGAGAGGGAGAGAAAGAGAGAGAGAGAGAACAAAAAAGAGGGAGAGAGAGAGAGATAGAGAGAGGCAGAGAGAGAGAACAACATACTTACATGCGGGACGGACACATGTATACACATGCATATACACATCTGCACATCGATCGCACGCACCCAGACACACATATACAGATTTGTATATGTGGCTAGCATACATACACATGTGCTTGTTTGCATGCACACCCATTCATACACAATGTTATACTTCTATATATGTATAGATATGGATGTATGTATGTATGTGTGTATATATATACACATAGCGCATGTGCCAAACGTATATATCAATGTACATATGTATATCCGCCACCGTGCCGTGAAGCAGGAGTTGGAGTGTCTGCAGGTCCTTTCAAGTTCAATGCGTCGAATTCTATAACAATTCGTGCAATGGCCCACGACCCAGAATTCCAGGCGCTCTCGGGCGCTCCCGGGCTCTCTTGCGCGCTGTTGGGGTGCCCCCCGGATGATTTTTCGAGAGGCCAAGAGGGCGTTCTTCGGTACGTGCATGTCCATATGGTTTCATAT